ACCAGGCAACTCCCCAGGCACTCGCCCACCCCGCAGGGTACTCTGCTACCTGATGCACCTGAGGTAGGGCATGCAGGGAGGGATGGATGCCTGCCCCAGGGTCGCCCCTGGGCTACTCTCCCACGTGTCCCTGCCTCTCCCAAGCCTGCAGGCCCACAGGGGAGATGGCAGCCTGATCCCTTCAGCCTGGGACAGAGCAGGGACTGGCTGCTCCTTTTGGGAGGTTGGAGCTGCCACCCTGCCCAAGAGCAGAGGTCTCTGTCCCTCTGAAGGCAGACAAAATGTGGCTGCTGTGACCAGGCGCTAAAGTAAGCGAGGGGGTTGTGCCCCCTGCCAGCGCTGTCCTGCCCGTGCCTGGGAGCCTGAGGTCCCTCTGCCCTGCTCTTGTCTCCATGTAGGTTTCACAGCTCCAAGTCAGGGAAGATCTACCTTCACAACGACATCCGGCTGATTTTCTCCCGCAAGTCAATCGAAGTCGACTCGAGGATCCCCTACGAACTGAAATCCTTCACGGAGATGCCGAGGAACCCCTGGTACTCACCCCGGCCCTGACCCTCTCCATCCTCCAGGACCATCAGAGAGCCTCCAGCCCAGCACTTTGGCATAGATGAGTAATGGGCCAGCAAGCAAGCACCACCTTTAAGTATCGCCCTCCCTGCGCACCCTCGTCCTCCTGAGCAGCACTGACACCGTGCCCATGCCCTTCAGCAGGGCTGGGATCACCAAAGGGGCTTCACCAGGAGGGGCAAGGGCTGGAGAGCAGCCCTGGCACCCCAGGGACATGCCCAAGCCTTCTGCTGATGCTGCTCCCAGCTTGGAGATGTGGCTGCCTGGGGGGTGGGGGGCGAGGAGTTGGGCCAGAGCTCTGGGTGAGGCTGCCCACGCTGGTCCCAGGGTTGGGAGCAGGAAATGTGGATGAGTTTGTATTTATTAGTATTTATTGTAAAAAAGCGGGTGAGGCGCGTGCAGAGGTTCGGGGAGGCCGTGCTGTTCTTTCCCCCCACCTTGTTGGTGCTGTTGATGTGGGGCTGCCTGGGCTGGGGCAGGGCTGTGGGGACGATGAGGCTAATTGGGGCTGGGGACGCCGTGGCCTGGGGAAGAGTGACCCACCTCTTGGCCAGGGTGCAGCTCCTGTGCTGGGGCTGTGTTAAAAGCTCTGGGAGGGGCCAAGACTTGCTGGGCTCCAACTCTGCAGGGGCCAGTCCCACTTTAGGCAGCTATTAGGCGGCTCGAGGAGATGCTTGTCCTCTGACCACTTCAGGGCAAGCCAGACCCCACGGGGCCTGGGGCTGAGGGATTTGGCTGTTTCAGGGATGGGGATCTGGGGTGCTCTGCAGGACCATAAGGTCAGATCTCCTGGCAGGAGTTTCTGGGGCCCACGCGTGCTGTGGATCTGAAAGAAGGTGGAAGTTATCAAAAAAGCAGAGCCTTGGACCATCTGCATGCGTGGGGTGAAGCTCATCCAGGAGCTGGCTTTTTTGGCAGAGGGCTCCCCAT